GCCCCCTAAATGTTGAAAGAAAACCTACGCCCTTGTTCACCAGTACAAGGGTAACGCAATAGTGTGGATGTAGACTGAAGCTGTGGCAGAAGGCCGTTTCAGAGTCACAGGCAAATAGTGAACCTGTTCTCATTCCCAGGGCGTCAGATATGGCAGCCTTGTCAGTGGCCCTTAGCATCTGTCATCGACTCTCAAGGCACCCTCTACAGGCTACCCTGTATCAACTAACTCCAATTAAATCCCGTTCACGGCAATGACAGAGTAGAAGGAGCAAGAAAGTCCAAGTTTTGTGGTGGTGGATGGGTCAAATACACACCAGGCTTTCACCCAGGAAACCGCTGTTTGTGTCCCATATGACACCAAAAAACTTGAGGGTTTTTTTTTTTTTTTTCAACTATAGCTGCTGAACGTCACTTGAGTTCGTCTTCAGGTGACATAGTCCTTAAGTTCCTGTAACAAACGTAGTTATTTTAACCCAAACCATTATCGTTTCTCTAAACCTAACTATATAGTGTCATTGCCTAAACCTAAAGTAGTTTTGGTGGCTACCTACCAAACCTACACTTTCCGTTAAGTTTATTTAGAAAGACAGTGTAGCATGTAATGAGTGGAGATTGACACAGAAGCTTAAGCATGTAAAACTGGTGCTAGAGGAGTACCTAGAGCCTAGACCTAGACCATAGGTTGTAGTGTAGGGCAACTGATCTAGCTGTTGTATTTGACGAGTTGGGAGTGAAAACGTGTTGAAATAATCTGTCAACACAAGAGCAAATTTGATAATAACTCCAAATGTGGCACTTTGTCAAAAAGTGTAAGTGGCTTCAGTTGATTTTGAGGAGGGTATGAGCTGCCTCCACACCAGGCCACCAGTCTACCTGTTGGATCCATGTGTGCTTCATGTAACTGGCACATTGATGCCTGCATAATGTACTCTGAACAAAGTGCTCCAGTTCTGGACTTAAAAGCCAGAAACAGGCCTATTAACAAGCTGTCAAACCAATTGGACTTGTCGACACCTGAGTTCTTCAACAAACTAGGGTACAGAGTTCTAAAAATGGCCAAAGTCACCATTTCAGTGGATCATAAGGTCGACACATGACCAGATCTCACAGGTACTTCCAATTGTACACCGGCTGCCTCATCTATCAATCCAATCTCCGCTATTGTACCTCTTAAAATAGACACCCCTTCCATCATCAACCATTCCGCCCCACAAGCACACGCACCTGCCCACCCTTCTCATTTCTGCTGTCTTCCCAATACTCCTCCCCTCCCCCTCCCCTCTCCCCTGTGTGGTTTCTATGTGCTAGAGGAGATGGAGGAGCTTTTGAAACTCTCTGTCCTCCTGTCCCTCCTTCTCCTGTCACACGAGCTGTCGCTGTCACCAGGTTCCATGTGGATCTGTCGTATATTTTTTTCTGTGCTTGTCGAACGTTATGGATGTTTTTATCGTTGACTTGAGTCTTATTTTCTCAATGTGTCTTCTCTCTCTTTCTCCTCAAGGTTGTCTCTATCTAGAACCAATCTTTGCCTCGAACTACTCAAACTCCCATGTTCCTTTGCTTCTTCAAACACCACCACCCCCCTCCCCCTCCCCGGCTCTATCTATTCACCCTCACTGTCCTAGAATCCTCCCTTGCATCAATTTGTCCTCTTTTTCCCAGACATCCCACATCGGCCTCCTTCCCTCACTTCCCCATTTCCATCTTCCATCCCTTCTCAGCTTCTCTCTTTTGTCCTCATGAATATTTCAGATGCGATGGCCAAATCCTTGTTTCTGTAGAACTGATATAAACCACTTAGCAGCTGATGCAAGTCAAAGAGGGAATGCTGGTAGTCCGGCTTTGGTCTGGCTAGTAAATAAACAACTTTAACCAGGTTGGAAATAAATAGGTCTTTAAGGATTTCTATGTTCCTGCAAGTCCCAGAGGACCTCAGTCCCACCTAGCTGCGCTGCTGAGCTCCTGTTAAAGCGTGGTATCAATCAGAAGAGAGCTGCGCCGTCCCACTATTAATAAAATATGGATCACACCACCAGTGGATGGCTGGGCCTTGGGAGCTACCCTACTTTCATTAAAGGACTGTTTGGTTCTCCGCTGACGACAGAATGCGGCCCGTGAGGTATTTTTAGCGCTCAAGCCACGTCCCATCTCTCTGCCGTGAAAAAATAAGACATGCACCAACCAGCCAGAGTGCATAGCTTTTAAAGTTTTTTTTATTAACAGCTTTGACATTAATGAATCAATGTTCAGGCGCGGAGGAATTCTTTATTTAGAGGCTTCAACAGGATCACGCTGCAGAACCTGGCTAAAGATAGAAATGGTTTTTTTGGGGGGGGCGTGGGGAAGCCAATTGGAGACAAGACAAGAGTTTCCATTAGATGACAACCAATGACGTTGTAGCTGACCAGTTTTATAAATAGAGCCTATCAGGACCAGTCTGGAGGGCTAACCCAAATGGAAGCCCCCTCCAGAACTGATCCAGTTCTGGGGCAGCGCTTCTCTGCGGAGGAATGGGGCAACCTGCTGGAAACTAAGCGGTTAAATGACAGATTGTGGCCCGTCTAAAATAGACAGTCCCCTGAATCAGTTGAAAAAATGACCCCCTTTTTCAAATGTCCTATCTACAGTAACACCAGCTAGCACTGCGGCCCAGCACTGTAAAGGACACATCACAATGTTTACTAGGTCAGAGCTGCAGAATCTGATAACCTTCAGTCTCTTTTTTTATCGTCTTCTTACCTCTCTAATGTTAAGTCAGCGAAGTGGTTTTATGTGAAAGCTAAGTAAACTATAACTTCCAGTTGGCAAGGACAGAGGCGCTGAAAAAAAGATGTCAAACATGTTTGATACAAGTTGAAAAGCAGGTCCATTGTGCTGAGAATAAAAATAATTTTAAGCTAGATTTCTGTAGATATTGGTTTGACAGCCATATGGTGCCAGTATCATGTGGACGATATCGTTAGAGCGTTCCAAAACTGTTGCAAATAACTGTTATAAAAGTAGTTCATAAGGGCTTTTCTGCAAAAGCAAAAGATTGTGGTCAAGATTTAAAGAACCACAGTTCTCGGTATCCAAGTCTGGTTTCCAAATCCAGCGATTTGGTTTGGCTACCTTCAGGCAACTGAAGATTAGACAACAATTAGGGTGATGATTGAAATTGAAAATTGAAAGCCAAACACAGACTGACTCGCTCTATACAATCATTGCAAGTGACACAGCACTTAGCCTCTTCACACGTGAAATAATTTGATGTTAACTCATTTGCTTGTTTGCATCGTGTCCAGTTAGAAGAGGCGTTAAACATGCGTCAAACAGCACCACATGAACAGGGCTTTGAGGAGTGCGTTGGAGGTTTAGGGGGATCCAGTTTCCCCCCTCTGCTGCAGCAAGGTACCCAGCTATCCTCAAGAGACTGGGAGCCTCCCGTTCCACCTCACTTAGACATCCAGAACCCAGGGATGTGTCAGCCAGCTGTGGGCTTGTACCAGAGACCCACAGCTGGCTGTCCAGTACCAGGGGCATGAACCAAAAACACTAAACCAAATTAAAAGTAAACATCAGTCAACAACAATCAGTCATCAGAATGCAGGAAACAAACTCTTTGAACCCCCCACACCCTCGCTTTGGTTCCGATATCCTTGCTATTTTCCGAGGTCTCAAGGTTTGCGAGTATGCTGTTGCGATTCATAGCGTCCAGAAGATGTGCCTCTCTGTTCTCAGGGAAAAGCCTCCGTATGAAATGTGTTCAGCGGATGTAAACAGGAGAAAAACTGACCATCCGTCACTCTCAGCCTCGTTCTATCACAGCAACAGCCGGCTTTTGATAGAGGTGGAGGAGGACAATGATCGCATCTATTTCTGTCGGTCCTCTCTGTCTCTGTCTGTTGCATTATCCATCCTCTCCTCTCTTTTCCCTCTCTGCCCTTTCATCCCATCCACACAGCCAGGGAGAGTCTATCTGATGACTCAGGCTATTAGTTTTTTCCTCTATTGCCAAGCCACGAGTCAGCCAGCCGAACCTGAACGCGCGTGTGCGTCTGTGTTTGTGTGTGTGAGCATGTGTGTAATCAGTTCAGGCCTGGCTGCGCTAACATGGCTTGGTGAGTTTGTTAGCATATTATTAGTCCGGGGGGTTGTTGAAGCACTTCTCACATTATCTCCTCTAATCACTCCCCTAACCAGCCAGACAAACACAATGTTGCATCACCCCCTGGCCACAAACAGCCAATAACGAACCCCCTCTGGCTGCGTCCCATCTTGATTGGCTAAAATCAGTGTCAGTCACGGAGGAGGTCGACCACACCTCCTTTCATCGCCTCCTCGTCTCTCTGTGGATTGAATTAATATGATTTTCTATCTGATTCCCGTCTTCTTGAGCCCCTGCAGATTTTTTTTTGTCCTCACCCCGCCCTGCCGCTGCCACATCTCTTTTCCTGTTTGACAAAGAGAGAAAGAGGGCACCCAATCAGACACACAATACAGTCCCAAATTAATTCAAATCGCTCTCATGCAAATTTGGACTGATTTACATTGTTGAATTGTTGGGAGAAGAGAGCGGCTGAATCCAGGTATGACTAATTCGGTCAGTGTGTGGGAGCGAGAGGAGAAAATAAGAGACAGTGACAGGAAGAGACGAGGACGGTGATTCAGGTTGTCTCAGATGTCCTGTGGTGGCCGTGAATGGGGCGAGGGTGGTGGGACGGGGGTCGGAGGTGGTGGTGGTGGTGGGGGGGGGAGTTGTGGTTGTCATGACACTGTGCTCGTTTTTCGGCTGTTGTTTCCACAGCGACTGACAACGCCGTTGTCCGCCTGTGAGCTGTTCTCTGTATCAATCTCTGTTTGGGTTTTTTTTATAACAACGACGTGTCCAACCCTTTTGTCTTGTTTTTGTTCTTTCTTGTCTTCCCCCCTCCTCCTCCTCCTCCTGCCCTTCTGCCCTCCCCCGCCCTCCCTTCCACTGTCCCTCCATCCCTCCCTCCTCTCCTCCCCTCCCTACAGGATGTGCGTTTGTCACGTTTTCCACCAGAGCTATGGCACAGAATGCAATCAAAGCCATGCACCAGTCTCAGACTATGGAGGTACTGTACTCTTGCTCTTCCTTCGACTCTCGCTTTTCTCTTTCTGCCTCTTTAACTCCTTTTAAACATGCACTTCACTCTGTTAATGTGCTGGCAATTTAATATGCCGGCCTCATGTTTGAATACCTGTGAACCTCTGAGTCACCTCTCTGCAAAAGTCATGACTTATGACTGTACTTTCTAGGTTTGGCCAAGTAACAGTTTCGTCACACTTCCGACTTTGCTCGAGTCTAAATCGGATGCTGACACATTAAGTTTGATGGTTTATTTTAAAATCAAAGATCCTCACAAAATACTGTAAATGAGCCCATTTTGATTTCTTCAGGAGAATCGTCTCATGTAAAATCAGCCTCTATAAAAATGTGGAAGAAAACAACTTGGAAAACCAGAATAATCATCAGACCCTCAGTCTTCCTCACTTTCATTCAAGCCATCTGCTTAATTTAACTTTAATTCAACCACTAAGTAAAAGACTCCTTGAGATTCTCTTTTTGAGATATCTTTCTTTTTTTTTCAAGAGTATCCTGGCCAAGAAAGGCAGCAAAACAAACACAATTTAAAACGGAAACAAAGAACAACTTAAAAAATCATCACAAAGTTACAAATTCATTACAAAGATATCTTAAAACAGTCTTCAGTCATTCAAAACATGTACAGGCAGATGTGCCGACGTTGAAGTCATTTAAGCGCCTTTCCCACTGGACAAAAAAACTCCACTAACACCTGCTATTATATCAGCATTCATACCTGGGTCGAATGACTCTGCAGTAGTCACAGGTATTTATCGGTTCCGGCTCTGATCACTAGTGATTGAAATACACGACCTAGGTGAATGTGCTACTTTTAGCCCATTTATCGGTGAGATGCAATGATGCGCTACCACAAAAACTCTATCCGTCTCCGTCCGTTTAACGAACCCGTTAACACATACCAATTTTGGTGGAAAGGGGGTATTAGAATTAATGTGTCCATTGAGACCAGCTCCAAGTCAAGGGAGCAGCATACTTAAGCGCTCTTTGTCCTAGTTCAGTACAGACTTGAGGAACACTCAGCAAGAACAAGTCCTGGGAGCAAAGACAACTTCACATACTTTTTCTCGAATGTAGATCCATAGGTAAGAAGGTAGCAAATCCAGTGTAGCTTTACGCCCGGGCCACACTGCCTGCATGAGCACATGACGGCTACCTCGCTGAACTACTGCAGCTCGCACATGTGCAGAGTTAACAAAGACACTGTTGAAAGGATTCTGCCACAGAAATGTTGTCAGAAAGCTTTCAGTTTTAGGTGGCTGTCCGATAGCACCCGTCCACAATGTAATTAACTATGGTTCTTGACTCTGGATCTAGAGTCCATTTGGAGGGTAGGGTGTTCTGCCTGATCTCCAGACCCTGCGTTCAAGGGATGTACAACGGACCATATGTGCACGTGGGTGTGCCAAGCGGGTGTGATAATGGTCTTGACTGTCCTTGGGTCTAGACGGGAAGATGCTGAGTAGAGGTACCCATTACTCCATTCTCCCCGATGAAGTTGCTTCGGCAAGACCCGCAACCTGTGACAGGGTTTTCACCTGACGGGCAGGTCACATGTGGAGATGCTCTACCGGTAAGAGTGAAGGGCATTTGTGGAGTCTTGTATGAGGCTGTCGAGCCTTGGCACAGATAAGCATGTGCTGTGAGTAACTATGACTCTGATGTAGCGCTTAAAGTAGCTCTGTTAAGCAGTGTTAGCAGCACAGCTTGGGGTGCTAACATAGCTAACAATGCTTAAGGAGTTTTTAAGCACAATAGCTGCTTACGCTCTGTAGTGACCTGGGGTGAGGCCAAGGGTCCTGGTCCAACGCTGTCCTGGTGTTTGGATGCCATTTTAAGCAGTAATGTGCCAATTAGCGGCACTGCTAGCTAGCTCCCACCTGCACAGGTTGGTGTGCAGTGAAGAGCAGCCAAGGCTAACGTTAGCTAACCAGTGGAGACTGGAGGGTGGGAAGTGGAGCAATGTTTCTGCATGTTAACGCAGCTAGCCAACAGAAAATAAAATACAAAGCAAAACATTTACAAGGCACACATTAAAATTTTACCACCTCTAAATGGGGCACTAAAGATCAGTGAGTCAAATGAGTGTCGGACTAAAAGGAAAGGTCTCTTGTGTTTTGCGTCATTTTTCGTTTGTTCTTAAAAATTGTACAGTTTATAACTTGTTAATGGGTTTCGGGCTATTTAAGGCAAAATTAACATTAACATTCCATGACCTTGTAATTTTGTAATTTCCTGCTGACATATTTTTCATCACTCTCATGTGCACACTTTATCTCTCCCAAAATGTACAAAGTTCCTAGCTTTAAAAAAAATTGTGAACAGCAGGAGAAATAAAAATGCTTTCCCAAAATAAATAATTTCAGACTTATAAGGTGCCAAATGTTGTGTGAGGAGTCCCGTCATGTTTGAACAGAGCAAATACTGAACAGTTCCATAAACCGTGTCTACAGATGCCAGAGAAGTTACAGTGTCTGAGAGGGCCTCTTTCTCTTATGCTCCCTCTTTGTGGATTTTTGGTCACAGATTTTCCAACCAGAGCAAACTTTGGCAAAAGCTCAAAACTGCTTCAAAAAAGCAGCACCTTTGACACGGCAGCCACAATGGGCAGGTGGTGTTACAGACCTCATCAGCTGCACAGCGACCCCGGCGGCGCCGTAATGGGGACCCAGCCACAGCTCTTTTGTGTTCCCCCGGTTTTGGGGCGCCTTTATCAACATTGTCAGGCCGGTGACAGGGCAGGATGACAGGGCCGTGATTGGGAGCGAATTACACGGTGTAAGACGTGCGTGAGTGCGTGTGAGTCAGAGGGAGAGAGACAAAAAGTGGTAATAACAGGCTGTGTTAAAGAAAAGAGACGAGCAGCGTTCTCCCCCTCGTAGCCCCCTCATTAGAGCTGATCATGATAATCATGGCTGCCATTGATGTGCTGTGACCCTGACATGGGGAAAAGGCGTGCTCCTCCCTCCGTCTGTCCGTGTAGAGTGTGCGAGCGGGGATTTTCTGTTTATGTTGTCACTTGCTACGAATATCAGCGAAGTGACTGTGTTGATTTATGTGGCCAAGCAGCAGCAGCATGTCTGTCTGTCGTTCTGAGTAGAAGGAGTGACACTCTTCTCCGACGGCGTTAGTATTAAGCTAGAATTATCCTCACTCTGAGCAGTCGTCTGCCACAATGGGCCTGGTAAACACCGCCAGTGTCCCTCACTTTTATCAGGCACTCGGAAAAAAGCCTTAAACCATAACACAATGATATTGCAGTGGACAATGGCAAAACACCTTCATTTCCATTTGAAAACAAGCTGTCTAGCCCCAGGCGGACCCAAATTGCCGCAACCGTTTGTTAATGTCCCTCAGTTTTGCAATTTAAAAGTAATTACTTCAGGTCCGTATGAGGGAATGAGGTCTGGTAAATAGAGTTTGGTTATTGTCTTGGCTCTATTGCACCCCACTGTCTTAGATAGAGCAAGATTGTGCGTGCATGTCACGAGGAGAAAAGGGAGGCGGCCCGGGCTCTCCATTCGCTGATGGCCCTGTCACTGTCATATCCATTCTCATTACGCCGTGACATTCAGGTACACACCGGCACACACATCTCACCCAAAACGAGCACGTTTGCTGAATGTCAAGCCGTAATGAAAGTGGATATGAGCGAGACAGGTAATTCACTGTCGAACCTCTAAAGACACGCGAGGAGAGACGTGGGTTGGCGCCATTGTGTTGTATTTGTGCTTTACATTATTCACTCCCTTTATAAATACTCATTTAGCGCTCAGCTCCCCTGCGCAGTGTTCCATCAACACTGATTTCTGTTTCCGCTTTTCCTTTTTCCCCCCACATGACACTGGAGACCCACTCGCACATTATCCTGCCCTCGCTGCGTGCTCACACACCCCCACCGCTGATGCGCGAGCGTTCGAGCGCATATAGACGGGAGCTTAAGTAGAGCATGAGAGACAACAGAGCAGTGTGTGTTTAAATAGCGAACAAACACATCTGTCAACTGTAGTGAAGAGAGGAGATGGAAAGACCGACAGTGGAAAGAAAATATTAGATTAGATTAATCGGGGCTGATGGTTTACAGGACATCACATAAAGCTGGAGGATCCCATAACTAAAAGAGTCATTTAAAGGAATACTTCACCCACAAAATGACCAGCTGTGCATCAGTTACTCACCAGTGTTGAATAAGTGAAGACAACTTTGTTTTTCTTGCATGCCTCCATGGTGAACGGAGAATCCAAAAACCACGAACATGTATCATGAGTTTAAGTAAATGCAACCTGCGCTCAGGTGATGCTTCATCATTAGCTCTCAGCGTCAGATATCCATGCACCAAGGGATCCTTTAGTGGAGGTATGAGACCATTTGGCTTTTTTTTGCACTCCATGAACTGCCGCAGTATAAAGAGCGAGGCGGGTGAGAGGGAAGGTAGATGGATAAGGGTAAAGTGTTAAGGTTAGGTATCAGGGTTAGGGTAAGCTTTTAGGGTTAGGCATTCGGATTAGGAGTTTGCGTCAGGCTTTAGGGTTGAGCATTAGGTTAAGGTGCTAGTGTTGGGGTTAGGCATTAGGATTAGACATTCATGTTAGGAGTTTCGCGTTAGGCGTTAGGGTTTGGTGTTAGGGCAACTTGCCAGGGTTAGGGCTGAGGGTTAGGGGTAAGGGCATGGCACAAGGGTTAGGTTAGGGGATTAGGGTTAATCATTCGGGTAGGAGTTCTGGTTAGTCGCTAGGGTTGAGTATTTGGGTAAGCCCCCAGGGTTAGGCGTTAGGGTAAGGCATTAGGGTAAGGCGCTAGTGTTAGGGTTAGGCATTAGGATTAATCATTCGGGTTAGGAGTTCAGGTTAGGTGTTAGGGTTGGGCGTTAGGGTAAGACCCCAGGGTTAGGCCTTAGGGTTAGGCCTTAGGGTAAGGCATTAGGGTAAGCCGCTAGTGTTACGGTTAGGCATTAGGATTAATCATTCAGGT